TGATAGATGTTTGTATACTTCCTTAATGGTTTACTATTCGACAATGGGATGCGATCGTTGTTCATGCTCAATTTGCCATTTGCATACGCTGTGTGGCTCAAGGACACGTTTTTATTGGTTTGCCTCTTTTTGAAAGAAAAGGGTGCAAGGGCTGCAATAGACAAAAGAAAGTATTTAACATTTAGTCAGGAAATAAGTATGTACTTATCTATTCATATAGAACTTAAACAAAATTACATAAATACATTGTATGAAATGTCCAAACTAAATAATTTAATTTTAAATTTAAGAGCAACATTTATTGTTATAATCAACTAACAATTTAATGCATGTCTCATTAAAATACTGAAGACTTTGATGATTGATGTCTGAATGACTTTCATATGTCTACATACATACATATGTATAAATATATACATATGTACATGTAAGAACAAACCTTCTATATGTATGTATGTACCGACATTAACATATTGCCTAATACATAATAGACCGATGCCTCGTTAGCAGTCATTTGCATGACCTTGATCCTTAAATCCTTTACGCCTACGCCTACATAGGCATCCCATACACAATTTTATACCCTTTCTTTCAAAATGGCACAATTAAATGTAACCTTGAACTGGACACACGGCACCATTAATTGCACCCGCTTTCTATTTGTAATTTATTACTTAGGCTAATTTGAATAAGCAAAAGAAGCAGAGAGAATACAAGAAAAGAACTGTGAGAATAATAAGGATTCTGAACCTATACATGTAAACTAAGTCTAGAAAGTCTATGCTGGGAATTCCTTCTATGTACATATGTATGTATGAACATGCATATATATAATCATGTTGGGTTTAATTTGGGTTTTAATTTGATTTTTAAATTATAATCTATTCTCATTTTCTTAGTCTTGTTTATGCTGTTTACTGTTACATAATTAAGAAGAAATACATATATCAAACATATAACCATAATTGTCGCTAACTTTTTATTAAAGACAATGAGGCAGAGTAGAAAAAGTAAATATTATAAATTTGTAAAAACATGAATCAAATGTATACATATTCAATAATCATTAAGGGACTTTGCATAAATATCTAATAAGCGTATTCATATTTT